AGTCCGAGACGTGATGTCCAAGTCTTCCACTATTTGTTTTGGCATTCAATTCCAAGTTTGCAATCATGTTTATATTGTGACTTGTGGTTTTGGCAATCGGCGATTTGAAATTGTTAAGTACATCTATACTAAATTGCTATATTAGTTGATTTCACACTTTTAGATTTCTAGTTGATAACTTAGAGAATCTATGTCTTGATGTGTGGTATTAGATATTCTAATTATGCTAAATTGTTATATTTAGTTGATGTTGCATTTCAGATTTCAATTGATAACCTTAAGAACCACTATGTTGTTGCTTTGTGTAAGCATGCTCCTATGTTGGTGCTTTGTGTAAGCATGACCTTATGTTGTTAAAATTGTATAAATGAGGTGATTGATGCTAGAAATGATCTTAGGTAGCTAGGATGCTCCCTGAGTCTCACCTTGACATAGACGTTAGGTGAAATGAACCACAATAATTAAATCATGCAACTTAGGGTCGATGCATGCTCATTTCCTACGAGTAGCTTTATGTTACTCACCCCTACGATACTGGGGCATATTTCAGGTATAGGATACAAGATTGGAGATTGCAATTGCTTGGGTGATTTGCTAAGTTGAGCTTCTTTAGAAGCATTCTTGTTCACATGCAAGTGTTAGCATGTTCGTGATTTGTCTATGAAATGTAATTTTTCTAACTTGGAGGTTTGACATGTCAAATGTTGTAAATGTATTGTAATGAGGCCATAGGCCATTGTAGCACATCTATTTTATCATATTACATACACTTGCATGCTCACTTTGGCAAACAATACCTTCCTTGATGAAACAAAAACCTAAAGTTGCATATTTTTTTTGTTTGACCCTATTCTGTTACAGGGGCATTTCGGGTATTTCAAAATGAGTTTTTTTCATTTTTCCCCACTTTTCATGTAGAAAACTTGATTTTAGGGGGGGTTTCTTCTTTGAGTTTTTCCAAAAAAATCCGTTTAGATGCCCGTTTTTACTCTCAGTTGTAGTAGTGGTGGGTTGTCCTCGTCAGGCCGCCACGACATCATTTTTGTTTTTGACCTTTCTCCCCCGTCCGGACTCGAAATTGAGTAAAAATTTTTTTGAACTTGACTAATTTGTCATTGTCTTTCCAGCGGTGTGTTCTATAGCACCTGAATCCACTTCTTGCAAAATGACCATTTTGCCCCTAGGTTCTTTTTGTTCGTTTTTGAAACGACACTTCTGCATTTGTTTCCTTTGGGTTTCATGACCTCATTGAGGGTCACATTGGTGTCTTAGAGATGCATTGTATCTCTAGAGACCGTTGTTTCACCTTTCACTTCCGCATTTCGAATCCATTATCGGGTCATCTTTTGGTCATCACTGACGCACCGGGTTTACAAAACTTAGGCCGTCACAATGACGCCCTATATATATTGCATTATACGTATGTTTAGGGTTACAAACAAAACCCTATTCATGTATACAGTGAGATAGAGAGACACAGAAAAGTAGAGAGTGGAAACTTGAGAACTTGCAGAGAGGTTCAAGGAGGTTGTAACAGAGTGCTTCTAGGTTGAACCAAGAGCGTCGGAGGTGTAGAATAATAGTCGACAACATTGACGAAAAACTTAGAGACGACAGTTTTAGTTTTCTAACCAGAAATTAGAGGCAAGTCTCTGTTCTTTTCTTTCCCGTTAATTCGTGTTCTATGCATGCCTAGTTAAGACTCCAGGGGTTAATCGAAGGTTAAAATAGATGAAACGAATGTTATGGTTCATCCTGTATGCATGTTAAATCGGTTTTTAGTTCTATTGTTTTAATCTGTCCTGGTGTTGCTTAAATGTATTGACTGAAATCTTGTTACCGATTGTTTTCAAATCTAGTGTTAAATTCATATTGTGGTCATACATCTATGTTGGAGGATTGGTCTGAGACATTAAATGAGCTCTAGAATAAGTACTTAAAACAGTGTTTATATTCACCAAATTAATCTGTTGTGGGTTGCTTACAATTTCGGACTAAGTTTCTATTGTCAGTGCTTCTAAACCTATGTTCTATGCATGCTATCATTGCATATCAGTGATTTAAAATTTATCTAGAACTGAGTTTAAACCTAGAACAAAGATTTAAAAACATCACAGAGGCTCCGTTAATCACCGGAGTTGGAGAAGAAGACACAGAAACAGTTGACGGCGTCTAAGAGAGTGAGAGCAGGCTCAAAAAGGGGACAGAGCCGGCTCTGTAACCCTTAGAGCCGGCTCTAAGTGCCATAGAGCCGGCTCAATCAGATAAGAGAGCAGGCTCAATTTTTTTTAGAGCCTGCTCTTGCCCAATTTTTGCATACTGTAAGGTTTTGGTGCGTGGTTTGGACTGTACTGTGTTTTGGCATGTCTTTTAAATTGTACTAAATGTGTTTTGGGATTGTAATAGACTTATGAAGCTATGGAAAACATTAATCTGAAATTTGATTAAATCTTGGAGTAACATACAGTTAAGGAAAAACTGGTATTTTTGCACACTATTGTGCTAGTTTATGTTTCAAAACTTTGTAAGGTTTTATTATAGGATTTAATGATATATATATATAAATCATGTTTTATAGTGTTTTAAGTATGGTGACTTAATTAAACTCAACTATACTTAGGTTGGATTTAATTAGTACTTAAATTGTTATTAAACTGTACCAATTCATGGTTTTATTGGAGGATTTACTAGGTTTATTTACTGGGGCTTAGCAAGATTGTTGTATATGATTTCACTATATATATAATCATATTTTTCCATAGTATTATAAGTATAGAGAATTAACTAAAAGTTCCTATGCTTAGCTTGGGTATAATTGATACTTAAATTTGTGTTAACTGTATCAATTCATGGACTATATTGGAGAATATAAACGCTTGAATTTAGTATAGCAGTTTACATTACTGGAATTGGATTGTGGGCTCTATATTGAAAGCCTGTTATATATATATGCATTAAATTTATGATTGTGTATATTCTAGAGTATAGTTGATGGCTATTTGATTACTATATTATTAACTGCGTTAACTGGAGGATTATATGTACTGGTATGGGACGGTGACATACTAGGTATGGACTAGTTCAAACACTAAGTTCTACCTAATTTGGATTAAGTTATAGATTAATCATATAGGTTAAGTCCATCACCTACTTGTGTCATATCAATTGAGAATTGAATGACCCACTATGGTTTCAAGATGGATTTGTTATACATATATCAGACCACTACACAGATGGATGGTATTTTGTATTAGGAGGAGTACGGACCTTATATATATATATATATATTATATGGTGCCGTGGTATGAGCTTGAGTCTCATGACCATGGTTAGGGCGCATATATCGCTTAGGATGGATAACTGGACATAGGTGTTGTTCCCTGGTAGGTCTAGGTACTCATGCCCACCTTAGGGTGCGTATTTGCATGTTGCCTTCTATTCAGGTTGAGACAGACCTACTGGACTAGCGAGCGTCCTATAGTGTATATTATATACTTATATGGACTACTCTAGACATTGTTGAGTCTTCCTAGGATGTATCTGCGTATCGGATTACTGTTTGGATTGTAGTAGATCAGGACTTGCATGTGGGCCTGACCCACTTCTTTATTTTTCAGTTGTTCGTCAGTTCCAGGGTTAGAGCTTGGTCGTGCAGAGTAGATACAGAGATTCATTCCTCCGACTATGTAGGAATTTTCTTTATGCTAGTTTTAGATTTTTTTCTATTATTTCAATTTCGGTTTGAGAATCTTTAATAAGCGGTCCAATGGAAGGATTCCCGAGTTGTAAACCTATGGAGTTTGGATTTAACAGATTTCAATAATTATATTATTTTAAGGATTTTTCAATTAGCATTCGTTCAGTTTATTATTTTTGTTTCTTATTTCATCTTGTATTCTGTTTTCAATTACATATTGATTGTTTGATATTTCCCTCGAGTTTGGGCCTGGGCCTGATCAACCCGTGTCTCGGATCCGAGGGGTATCACATGTTAATTGCATTGATAATGTAATTCTTGTTAACATATGTCTGAGCATACTTATTGTCATGTTATATGGAATGTTCCATCCTTATATACTTGCATAGGTATTATGTTTTGTTCTTGATTCCGTGTATAATTCTCATCGTGTTAATTGGTTTGATTCCAATCATGTTAATTGCATCGATAATGTAATTCTCGTTAATTTATATTTGAGTAATTTTCTTGTCGTGCTTTATGGAATATCTCTACCTTGCTGCATTGCATAGATTTTGTGCATTATCCTTGACTTCGTGTATTCTTCTTTTCGTGTTAAATTGGTATGTCCCAATCATGTAAATTGCATTGATAATGTGATCCTTATATTCCATTGTTTTCTTATCATGTTGTATGTATCTTACTGGTTATATTCATTGGATTATCCCAATCTTGATTTGTTTCATACATGTTTATGTATCATGATTCTTGTTGCTTATACTCTAGGGTAGCTTAGGATGCTCCCTGAGTCTCATCTTGACATAGACGTTAGGTGGCATGAGCCCTTTAACATGCTTCACCATAAGGTGATATAACCGTAAAACGCTAGGTTGATGCATGCTCATCTCCTACGAGTAGCTTTATGTTACTCACCCACGTAGTGGGGACATTTTTCAGGTATGAAAACTTGGTTCATGTTGCTCATTGCTTCTTGGATGGATTATAACTTTCGTGTTTCTATTTCATGCAAATGTTAGCACACTACAACAAAAATGACTTTTTGTGATGAAAATTTTAATGACAAAATCAATTTAGTTGCTAAAGATAAACCTTTAGTGACCAACAAAATTTTAGTCACACAAAAAGTATGCTTTATTGACCAACTATAGTGTTGGTCATCAATTGTTTGGCGGGAAAAGAATTCACGCTCCCGCAGTTCTTGCAATGGTGCATGTGACGTCGTTTTGGTAAGTATTAGTGACTAAATTTATTTTGTCCTTATTTCCTTCACTAATGCTTTCTATATATTATGAATTAAATTTTATAAAATGACATCAACTCGTCTAAACTCATATAAACCAACCCACACTGTACATGAGCCCCCAAAATTTCCCCCTTTTCAATGCCCCATTCTCACACAATTTTTAAACGTGAAAGCTAATAGCCAGAGATAGAAAAATTGAGAATGAGAAATAGAAAGAGAGCCGAGATCTGCTACAGATTCACACTATCGCCGTCAATGCATCTGAACCATATCTCCTTGTCGCCGATCAGAACATTATCGTCACCACCACAATAAAAATAAAGGTATGGAATTTTGTGTTATTGAATATTTACTACATCCGATGGAACTTAGAAATTAGGGGCTTTGGGTTATATATATTTTTCCAAACGATCAATTTATCTCAAACCCTATCTATTGGGTTATATAGTTTTGTCAGGCAATCATTTTCTCTCCAACCCTAACTCGCTCTTCTTCAGCAGATCTTTCAATAACCTTTATCTTAGGTCTTCAATCAACCGTTAGAGATACTAACATACATATTATTCTTTTTCTCTCTGCAAGTTTCAAAATTTGAAGTCATCTCTCTGATTTAATATGCTTTCAAAAATCCCTCTTTTAATTACTTCTTCTTTTTTTTTTTCTTTTTTTTTTTTGAGTCTGTGATGATGTATAATTTTTTTGACATTGACATTTTTAGTTTTTGATTAGTGATAAGTTAGACATAGAAGCTATTAGTTTCTGAATTCCCAAATATTTATTGTTGGACAATTGGACTGTAAGAATTGTGAAATTTTTTTGTGAATTTGACAAAACTCTCACATTGTGATTCATTAGAAATAGAAGGTTATACTTTCTAAATGCTCAAATATACTAGTTCTTTGATTGTGGGTCTATTTTGTAAGAGCATAAATTTAAATATATTGTTACAACAAAATTAATTGCATTTCATGAAACTTGAAGAACCTTGTTTGAAACCTGGGTACTGCTATTGTTAGTTCTCTCATGAATAAAGATTTTTAAGTAGACTATTGGGAGTATGTTGTCTTAAAAAATTATGTGCTAATCTCTATAGGGAGTCTACATTTGTATGTAATATTATGTACAAATTTTCTGGACTGATATTGTACTCTCTAAAGAACAACTGAGTATAAATACAATCAACCATTGAAGAAAAATTAAATGATTAGAATATTATTTTATCTTGAGTAATTCTTCCTTGGGGTAATTACACCAAGTTTGTTATGTTTCTATTCTTTCCTCTTACTTTTCCTCAAATTTTTACACTTTTAAGGGTGGTCATAGGTAGCTCTCTGCCTCTTCTTTCTTTTTTAGTCATAAAATAAGACCCTATGCAGAGTCTAATTCCTCTTACTAATTAGAGATAACTTTTGTTTGTTCACTGTTATTTTTGTCCCACTAAATACAACACAATAATGGTTGGATAGAATTAATTTATGATCATTGTATATAAATGAGTTATACTTATAATGATTAGCTTAATCCTATGTCAACCCCAATCAAGTAAAATGCAGAATAACCACTGCTACTGAAAGTAGTTGATTGACTAGCAGTGATCATTCAAACTAACATTGTTCTTATACTTATTTTGTTATTATTTTTGTAGGCTTGACTATTCTTAAAATTAGTCAATTTTTTTTACTACTCATCGACTTGGATCTTTGGTAAGAAAGTCTAAAATTGGGTTATGTTGTTGCCATTTCTATTAACTTTTCTTTTACTAACTAGAGATTGAAAAGGAAGTTGATCTGAAAAGAAAAGAATAAGAAAAAGAGCAAAAGTTGAGAAGATCAACGGACAAGCAGAGAGGTGTCTCTCTTCTCTCCATTTCTCAGTTGGTCTTCCTTCAACAGTATCTAGGTAATTGACTTACAATCTGTGAATATATATATATATATATATATATATACACCTATATCTATTTATATATATATCTTCATTTTTGTACTTTAAAATGGTTGCATTGTGTTGATTATTTGAGCCATTATCTTATCTGGTTGTTTCAGATTATACTTTTGTTGCTGTATTTGGATCGAGTTCCATTATACATACATATATATATATGTCTTGATTTTCTTAGATTTTCTGCTTTAGTAATGATGTGCAATGCCAATGTTATACAGTCATACTTGACCCAATTATTTTAATCCGTGTCTCTTTGATAACCTCTCAATTACACTTAAATCCAATCTAACAATTGAGATCAGTTTAGCTTAAATGGCCTACCTTTCTTCTACTTTTGGTTTTCTCTCTCTCACACACACTGGTTCAGGTTTGCATACACATTCCCCAGATTTTGTTTTGAATTGGATTTACATAGAAATGAGTTGAATTAATTGGGTAAACAGATGACAGACCCGAAAGACTTGTAAATCGAAAGATGTATACTTTATCATGTTCTTAGTTTCTTTTTTCTCTCTTAGTTTCTTATATAATTCCTATAAGTTGTGAATAATATTCTAATGGCCTTGTTCTTTTTGAATTGTAGAGCGGTTGATTGGGAGGACATGAAAAAAACAAAGTACTCACGGAAATGACGAAGTAAATTGATGAGATTACTGCATCGAGGCTTGGAAGATTGGTTTTATGTTTTAGTTTGGTTATTTTGTAATGCACAATAGAAATTTTATTTTGTATTAGAGTTGAACAACTGAGAGTAGAAACTTAATCAAATTTATATGTAAGTTTGTATTTGAACTAAAATTATTATGCACTTCGTAATGAAATTTAATGTTATGTTTAAATTTGTGTTGCCATTTGGAATCTAAAATGTGTATGGTTGAATGTTGAAATTTAATTAATGTCAATCAATATATATATATATATATTAATTTTTTTTAACACTAGCAATGAGTGACAAAATAAAATTTTGGCTATTAATAAAATGATGTTTCTTTGTACCTGAGTAGTGACAAAAGCTATTGGTCACCGTTAAATTAGTGACAAAAATATTTGTCACTAATGCCAAAGAAAATGCAACGAAAATTTTCGTTGCTAAAAGGCAATCATTTGTGATGAATAAATTTTCGTCCCTAAAACTCAATTAGTAGTGTCAAAATTTTGATTCGTCACTATAGATCAACCGAGACGTTTAAATAGCAACGAAATAATGACAAATGGTCTTTCGTCACTGTAAACCTTTTAGTGACGAAAATTTAACTTTTTGTGACAAAAAAAATCGTCACTAAAGGTCACTTTTGTTGTAGTGGCATGAAATACCATTATATAACCTCTTTGTATCAAATTTGTATATTTGACTTCATGTATGTAAAGTGTACATAAGTGCACTCTTTTCAATGTATTTAACATGCATGAGATGAGGCCGGAGGCCAATGACATGTATCTTGCTTTCTATGCACTTTCGTTTTCAAGGCTTAATATGAAAATGCTGAAAAATGCTTAGACATTGTGTCATAACTGTTGCATCAGGTGTGGGAATTTCATTTTTATTCTTTCGTAGGGTCTCATTAATCATGTATGAAGTGTAGCCAAGGGCCAAATGGTAATTTGAAATCATTTATTAATTTTGGTTTTTAAATTTACCAATTCTTGTGCATTTTCGCCTTTTTGGCCGTTGGGGGGTCGGATTTTGCATTGGGTCTTCTCGGGAGCCGCGGACAATTCCCGCGTGCTTAAAAACACTAAATACACTTGTGTGCACATTCGTTTCAACCTAGAAATGCATTTAGGGCCAAATGCACACTTGGTGCAAAGTTGCATTTTTTAAGTTTTTGACCCCTTAATGAGCTAGGGGCATTTTGGGCATTTTACAATGAGTTTTTTTTAATTCTCTCGCGAGTCCTGTAGAAAACTCAATTTTAAGGGGGGTTTCTTCTTTGTGTTTTTCCAAAAAAATTCATCTAATAGCCCGTTTTTACTCTATGTTCTGGCTGATTGTGGAAAAAAAATGCATGTAGCAGCTTTTTGGTCCCTCTTGACCTACACTGTTTTAGGGGCATTTTAGGGATTTTATAGCCTTTTTTTTTTTTCGTTTCTTCCATTTAACCGGGTAGAAAACATGATTTTAAAGGGGGTTTCTTCTTCGTATTTTTCCAGAAAAGTTCGTTTAAGGGTCCGTTTTTAGCCTCAGTTCTGGGAAAAAAATCAAAAGTTGCCTTCTGTCAAAACACTATTCCTGCCCAGATTTTCGTACCCGGAAAAGTTGGTTTTTATGAAACTTTGAGGTTTCATATCTCCTTCGTCCCGACTCCAAATCAAGTGATTTTTGAGTCTAAGTTTATTAACTTTTACTTTTCTACCCAACAGTATGAACGGTTGAATCCAATTCTATTAGAAAAGACCATTTTACCCCTTGCAAAGTACCCTTGCCGCATTGATTTGAACCCAGAAGTCTATTTTTTTGAAATTTTGAGACTTCATATCTTCTTTGCCCGGACTCCGAATCAAGTGATTCTTGAGTCTAGATTTATTAAATTTTCCTTATCTATCTAATGGTATGCTCAGTTGCATCTAGTTTTATCTTAAAAGACTATTTTACCCTTTGTAAAGTACCCTTACCGCATTGATTTTAACTCAAAAGTTTGATTTTATGAAACTTTGGAATTTCATATCTTCTTCATCCGGACCCCGAATCAAGTGATTCTTGGGTCTAACTTGGTGAATTTTTCGCTGTCTTCCCAGTGGTGTGCTCAGTAGCACCCGATTCTATATTTTTATAAATGACTATTTTGCCCCTGGGGAATTAATCGTTATTTTTTCCGATCTCTTGCTTCCGCACTTTACTTCATTGAGTTCCATGACCTCATGGAAGGTCATTAAAGTGTCTTAGAGGTGTGTTGTGCCTTGGGAGATGGTTGTCTTGTTTCTTGCTTCCACATTTCGGATCCGTTACCGGATCATCCTTTCGATTCATCACTAACGCACTGGCCTAAAAATTAGGGTCATCATAATCTCTGCTTGGATTATATTTTTCTGGTACTCGTCAGTTCCAGACTTAGACTTGATCGTGCTGAGCAGAGACTACTACTCACTCTTCCGACGACGTAGGACTTTTCTCCATGGTTCACTCTGAATGTTCTTTAAGTAGCTTTCATTTTAGTTTGGATTATTATTAGGGGTCCATTAGAGATGAATTCCCGAGTTGTATTAGAATTGGTAAAGTTGGATGTATCAGATTACTTATTTATTTATAAAATTTTATTCTGAGGTTTTCAGTTTTGGATTATCATTCTAATTCCATTTCAGTAGTTTTATTTATTCTTGTTTATCTTAACTGTATTCTGTATTCGTTTATTACTAATTGGTTTGATATCCTTAGGTAATCGGGCATGGGTCTGGCTAACCCGCATCCGAAAATTTGGGGGTATCACTCCTCCCTTGGGCTGCCATGGGAGCTTCAGGTCGTGCAAGAGGAGTGGGGAAGATGAAAAATAAAATATTTCATCCCCCTTTTATAGAAAATCTCAAAAAGTGCCCCGAACAGGCCCCGCCGGGTCCGAAAAAGTAAAATTTAAGCAGACGTGCTCAAATGGCAAAACTCTATGAACAAAAAAGATTTAAAATGAGAAAATATGAACAACGAAATTAACAACGTCAAAAATCAAGTCCCGAGCAGAAAGTTATGCCCCAAACAAGTTTGGCACTAACCGGGGCCAGAAACCCTGAAACTGGAAAATAACGACCAGGAGGAAATCCCAAGAGTATGCGACTCGACAAAAAGTGAAAATGAATCCCGTACGAAGATCTAGGTCCAAAACAAGGCATTTAGCAATAACTTTCATTAATTGCACAATGACCCCTCCAAAAAGTGAAAACTACACTAATGGCCCAGAATGAAAATATTTTCCAAAAATATTTTTCTTAAAAACCCCTGAAATAAAATATCTTCAAAAGATATTTACGAAATCACCCTAAGAAAAGAAAAAGTTTCCAAAAAACTTTGCATTTATGCCCCTATGAACACCGGGAGCAACCAGAGTACCTCTCTACAAAAGTAAAGATACGTATTTCATGGAAACCACTTAGAATGAAGATACATGAAGTCAAAAACCAAATCCGAACACAAGAAGTATGGTTACACCAATAAAGTGACAAATGGGGAAAAGACAAAATAGGGAAAAGGACAAAAAGTGAATAGTGTCGAAAAACGAAAAATGTGGAAATGACTCCATCCTCAAAGGAAGTTGTCAATCTAAAGAAAAAAGTCTCGGAAATCACTCCAGAGCACTCGAGACAACACTAAGCGACGAGGAACTGAACTCAGAAAGGAAAAGATCAACGGAAAAAAAATATCCGTGAAAATCTGAGAAATATGAAAAGGAATGAAAATGACCGGGTCATTACAAGTTCAGAGAAGAAGAAGAGGAGCCAGATAATTTAAAGGATGAAGCTTGTTGACATCTTGCATCTATCAACCATGAGTGCTGATTCTTCAACTTAGGGTTGGATAAACCCTAAGCATGTAACCTAATTCTTAACTCTTGACTTTTGGGGATTAATTTATGTATTTTTTTTTATAGCCTTGAAATATATATTAATTCTTTCATTTGATTATCTATATCAATCTCATAATGTCTTATATGTTTTTGATTGATAATTAATTTTTACACTTGATTTCTTTGTGAATTGAATCATGTGATGGCTATGCATTGTATTAATTTGATATAATTGTGTTCTAATTTGATGGAAATTGCTTATATTAGATGGGTTGTACTACGCAATTAGGTTAATGTCTAGTTTAAATAGTTTAATTTCAAGTTTGGTTAGTTTAATTTAAGGTAAATTAGTTAATTGTAATTTAATTATTAGTTAAGTAGACAATCCATACAATTGTTTGAAATCCATACTTATTGTCACAATTACATATCCTCTAGATTAATGTGTATTAAATTTGTAACTTGGATTGATGAATCATGCTTTGAATTGGTAAATTGATTTACACTTAGTTAATTGTCATTAGGTAAACGATTCAAACTTTAAATTGATGCTTCATACTTTTCATTGCAATTGTTAGCCACATTTAGATTATACATTTTATTTCCTCAATTAGTTGAAAGTCAGTGAGTTAGGAAATGTGTTTAGTGGTGAATCCTACATCCTAAGTCTTTTTCCAATCTTTTAAACTCCATTATTTTATTGCAATCATTTAGCTTAAAATTAGTCTAATCACAAAACCAAACCTTTTTTAGGAATCACATAAGCACTAAAGTATAATTCAATTATGGAAAACCTATAATTGTTTAGATCTCTTGGGACGATCCCTACTCACTTCATACTCCATAGTATAAGTGTTTAGTGGTTTTATAAATTTTAAAATATGGTGCCCACTTAACATTATTTCTAAACCTAAAGTGTTGTGCATTATTTTGTGCACACGCTCAATTGTACCAAAGTGGTAAATAATACTCCCAATTGCCCTTAAAATCAAGGACACATGCCCTAAGCATATCTTCCAGAATCTGATTAACTCGATCAGTCTGTCCATCTGTCTAGGGATGATAAACAGTGCTAAGATGAAACTCTGTACCCAAAGCCTGCTAAAAACTCTCCCAAATCCCTGACACAAAATTCAGATCTCTATTTGATATGATGGACATTGGTATACCATAAAGCTTCACAAACTCTGTAATATAAAGTTTCTCCAACTGTTCTGAAGAAAAATCTATATGAATTAGAAGAAAATGAGTGGAGTTAGTCAATCTATCAACAATGACCCAAATAGAATTTTGATTGTTGTGTGAAGTAGGTAATCACTCAACAAAGTTCATAGAAATACTCTCCCATTTTCGCTCTGG